TCTGCGCCTGCGCTCTTCACACGCCTCCTGCAGGGCATGTTTGGTAAAGTTCCTGCATGCAGGCTGCCGCCAAGCAGAGGGAGTAGCACAGCTAAGGAAAAGGGTAAAAAAAAATGGCGGACGGCGTTGTTTGGCGACCCCTGTGAAATGGTCGTGCGACCCCAAATGGGGTCGCGACCCACAGGTTGAGAACCGCTGTGTTAGACAAACCTCTGAATAAATATCTTGCCCCACAGGACTTAAATGTTTCAGCCTTCTTCACTTAGATAACAGTTGTTGCATATTTCTGGAAAGGTCATCTCCCTTACTCTCTACCAAAATGCACCATTGTTTCCTGAGGGGATCACCATCTCCCTCCAAGAAGCTGATGTGACCGCATGGACCAAACTACAATAACAAAATTAAATGTGTGGATACTTTGAGGGACAAGGGGGAAGAGATGTTGCCTAGGAAACAACCAGACAAGGGAGGCAGGAGCTCTAGTGATCTGAAAGTCAGAGGAAGAAACCTAGGAAAAATCTGCCCTAATTAAGCAAGAGGTTCAAAACAGTGTTTTATAGCTTTAGACTTGTAAGATTCTGTTATGTAGCCTTACAGTAAAGTAGAATTACCTCATCTAATCATGGTTCCTGTCTAGGTTATCTAGGAGGGACCTGGATCTAACAAGCAGGTGGCTTAGTTCAGGGGTCCGCAACCCCCAGATTGATACCGGTCCGCCGCATGCCAGCAACCGGTCTGCACAAACAAACAAAGCCCTATCCACAGGATGCAGGCAGCACACAAAACCACGCCCCCTCCAGTCCACAGAAAAACCTCTCTCCACGTAACCGGTCCCTGATGCCCAAAAGGTTGGGGATCTCTGGCTTAGGTGACAGACTGAAAACTCCTGTCCATTTCCTTGAGAGTCACAGAATAAAACTTGCTCTACATAACTACAAAAGGCCTTGTTTTTGGCACTGTCCAGTCAGAATCTGAGCTATTTTATTTGCCAAATAGCAAAAATATTCGTCACAATAACCCTGCATATGCTCTGCAATCTGTCCCTGCTCAGCAGGGATTTGTTCTCCCTGAACTAGGTTGCTGTGCAGCTACCAGCAATAAGGGCAAAGAAAAAATAATTTTGCTGTCCTCGTTGCCACAATGTAAGCCCTAATATAAGTTCTTACTCATGCTCAATTGGATTCACTCTTCATCTTCCTCCACTGGTAACTCCAGGCATCTCTTCTTTCTCCTTTGCAAAAACTATGACTTTTGCAACTTATCTTCAAAACCAGAAACAAAATCAGAGTCTGAAGTACATTCTATCATGGTCTGCCAATTCAAATGATAGAATTAACAAGCACTAAATAGAGCATGTGGGAATCACATGTTAATTGGAGGAAAGAAAGCATATTTTAGATCTTTAAACTATGATTTGGAGGACTGTCAGAAGCTCATCTAGCATTAATGTCATGACTTTCATCAAGATTTTGAGAGAAACCACCTTAATAGGCCTACTGCTCTCACAAATGTCCAGGATTCTCAAACCTGACCATGAAAGTGCTCTGGCCATGGCAAAGGACAAAATTAATGTCCTCCATATTCCAATCAAGTTTCATCTGCCCTGGAGCAAAAATTAAAGTGTGTATCTACCTTTGTGAGTTTACCTTTGTTAAGATTACCAGGACAAGCCCATGGTTGCCATTTTCAAGCGTATCTAAAGCTGAAGTCCCCCCCCCCAAAAAAAACATCAAATGACCTTAGCATCAGTTCAGGGAGGAAGTCTAAAAGTTTTGAAGGGCACTTGCTAGATAGCAGAGTGGTCAGACCATGTGCAGAAGCCTAAGAGCTGGCTTAATGTCATGTACAGACACTCACATCCAGTTATTGACAGAATTGTGCTCTCGCTCACTGCTAAGGTCTTCTGAATGTTCACAACAACATTTCTCCAGATCTTAGCATTGTGGCTGCTACAGGACCTGAAAATCCAGGAAGACACATCTATGACAGGGCATATCTCCATTGCTATGAAGCCAGACCTCAATAATACATACAAGATCTAAAAACATATCCAACATTAGATCATGAGTGGATGCATTTTATCTTGCATTTCAGCAGCAGCCTGAAACCCTGGTACTCTCCTAGTTCTCTCAGCCATACTTTCCTCTGTACAACATTGAATTAATATGGTTCTCCATTTCCCTGCCTCCTGCACTTGTATCTCTCTGCATTCGTATGCTCATCATTTTAATTGTCAGATCACAGTATGTGGACCAATTTTGCTACTATATTGAACCCATCAAACCCAACAATTCTCTGAGTTCCCAGTCATACAATACATATTTATTACCTGTCTTCAATTTCAACTATTGCAATTTCAATTTAATTATTCACCATGCCTCTCACTTGGAGATTCCTTTCCCTACTGTCCCAGTCCAGGAATCAATTCTCACACAGAGTTTTTACATTGTATCTAGTTTGCTTTTGCTTCTGAACAGACCTTTAGGCCAAAAGATTTGATGTTCTGTTTATACCTTCCATGCAAATCATACAGATCAGCTTTGAGATAACTTTGCTGGCACAAAGTTCTTCAGTTAGCCCACCTCCATGTTCTCACATACGTCCCAGGTCACCCATATCTGCCATGTCACTTACCTTTGTTTTTTTACCTAGTTTCTACCTCTGTTACTGCTTTTCACAAGACTCTCCAATTCCTGCCTCCATTCTCCAGCAGATAAGATAAAGCGGCAGCTATTCAGCCATAGATGACAGCTGCGGCTTTATCTTATAGTTCCCAAAAGATACTGGCCAAAGACAATTGTTATTTCTACTTCTGTTCCCTTGTCAATCTTTGTTGCTATGGAAGGACAACTCCATGTCAACACATCACTCACCAGCTCCTTTTTTTTTTTTTTACCATTTTTAATTTTTGTTATTATTATCTTATTCCCTCACCTATCGGTTTTATACCATTTAACTTTCTCTTAACTCTTCTGATTCTTACTACCTTCATCTTCTGTCCTATTTTTCCTTCATTATTCATTCTACGTATTACTTCAACCTCAAAACCTCTTGACAGGACAGCTGGGTGCCATTTTACAAGAAGAATAAGCATGGGAAATGGCCCAAAACCTATAAATGCTCAGAATTCACTAGACAATAGGAAAGAATTGGCCCTGTGATAGTTGGCTTTGCAAATTTAGACTAACCCAAACCTGATTCATATTCAAATCTTTTCTATATTCTTTGGTGTGTGAAAGTCTCTTGCTAAAGCTTAGACTGTTGTTAGACTTTGTCTCTGCTTTATCACTCATGCATACCCTGCTTTAACAACATAAACCTATAGGTACTTTGACATTTTTTAATAAGCAGAAAACTTGTATAATAATAGCAATAACAATGATTTCTAACTGAATACTTACCTCCAAATAGATTGAGGGTGGATTGTGTTCTCCTCCAAACTTGTCTAGTAGAGCTTCTATGTGTTCTTGGGTTAATTTAATCATCTGTTTGATATTCCACACCTAGAAAAAACAGGAAATACTTCAATATACTTAGTAAAATATATTAAAAAAAATTAAACTTAATATCTCAAATACATGCTGACAACCAATCAACTTACTAATGTTGTTAGCTATGATGTGTGTGCACCTATGTAGTCACTACATATGTAATGCAACCTAAAACAACTGCTCAATAATTTTCTATCTCTTAAACTTCACTTATATAGCACACAATGCAACCAGCAATATATTTAGTGGCTGGGAGTAAGACCCGATGCCTACTCAATAAAAGGGCATAATGCAAATGTGTGGCACAGATGATCAAGAGCATGGGTAACTATTGGAAGGTTGTAGGCTGCCAAGAGAAGTAAAAAAAAAATATATCTCAGAAAGCGGCTATGGCCAATGATTTCCCTGCTGTTGGCAAGAAAACTCTACAGGTAGCCATCAACTTACAACCACAATTGTGACCAAACTTTCCATAACTAAGCAAAGACAGTTGTTAAATGAGTTTTGCCCCATTATACGACCTTTCTTGCCAGAGTTGTTAAGTGAACCACTGCAGTTATTAAGTTAATGACCTGGTTGCGAAGTGAATCTGGCTTCCCGTTGACATTGAAGGTCGCAAAAGGTGGTCACATGACTCCAGGACAAAGGTGGTCACATGACTCCAGGACACAGGCATCCAGATTTTGATATGTGACCATGGGCATGCTGCAATGGTCTTAAGTGTGAAAAATGATCATAAATCACTGTTTTCAGTGCCCTTGTAACTTTCAAAGGTCACTAAATGAATGGTTGTAAATTGAGGACTATCTATATAGATATATCCATGTAATCACTGAGACTAGATCTGAGGGTCCAAAGCATGAATAAATTTGTAACCGTGTTGCAAAGAAATTTCTGTAAGAAACAATGTAAACTATCTTATGTCTACTTCTATTCTTTTGTCAGCATTGATATGATTATTACTTTGGTACTGTAAAGAGAGCTATTTATAAAATACATATAAAAACAGTAACAATTAGCCAAAAACAACACCTAAGAATTTAAGTACTTGCTTCTGAAAAAAAAATGACAATACACTGAATGTTCATGCAATCACCAGAGACTTAACCATCTGTCAAAATTTGGAGAACAGAACTCTAGAACTATTTATCTATTGGAATAACATCTTATCCTTCAGTTCTGGTGAGAACTAAAGATGGTTAATAATTATTTTAAAAGAAAACATAGTTTTAAAACTGCAGATGAAAATTAATGGAGAAAAAAATCATACTGGAATTATTTTACCAATTAAAAAGCCTGGAGAAAGATAAGAATCTTTCCAATTTTAAGGGATCCTTGGTGCTTGGTTGCTTTCTTGCAGACATTTCTTTTATTATTATTACTAGTACTAGCACTGATGGTGTTACCTAGTTTGGGTAATGAAATATCTGCAAGAAAATAATCAATATCAGAGAACACCCAGGACCTCTCATTTCAACCCTGAGCTACAAATATTCTCCTTTATTGGTACTTCCCAATTTTTCAAAACTCTGAGAGTGGCCTTCAAATATAACTCCTGACAGAGTGCCTTCTCTAGTCTGAGTGCAATGCCTGCATCTTCTATCAGGAAGCCTGGTCACTAACAAGCAGCACGTATCACTCTGTGCAGAAATTATTTCATTCATCTATCTTGGACTGGTTAGCAACATTAACTTATATTAACTTGACTACTGCATATTCTACAACTATTCAACTTTTATATACTATTCATGACAACCTCACAGTTGCCACAGATATCAATTCTGATTCCGTTGTCAGCTGAGAATTAAAAAGTACTTCCACACTAAGAATTTGCTTTTTCAGGAAGAGTATAAGCCAGTGGTGGCGAAACTATGGCACGGGTGCCAGAGGCGGCACTCAGAGCCCTCTCTGTGGGCACGCGTGTCGTCGCCCTAGTCCTAGGCCTTCAGCAGGGTTTTATAAAACCTTTTCGCTTTAGGCCTCCGCCGCCGTGTGCAAAAAAAAAAAAAAGGTTCAATCAGTCAATTTCAACTTCTCGCGGGAAAAAAAAGTTCTTGCAAAGTTGGAATTGATTGATTGAACTTTTTAGTCCCACCCAGTTTGCCGTTACCACTGCAGCCATGCCCACCCAATGGGCCACACCCAGCCAATGGGCCACACCCACCCAGCACTCTCTAAAACGTTCGCCATCACTGGTGTAAGCCATTCTTGATCCTCGAGTTCAGTTTTCTATTTGTCAACCTCCATCTTATTCAGATTTAATTTAATTTTGTCCCCTCTTCTCCAATGAATTATTGAGGTAAGGCAAATTTCAAGGGGACAAATAGCTTCCTTGGAACTGAATGGAAAACCCAATAGAGCTGCTGTCATCAACATATTGATGGTGTTATGTATCAAACTACTCAAACAGCTTCATGTAGATGTTAAAAAGCATGAGAGATAAGATGGAACCCTTTGGGAGGCCATAACTCAATGTTCTAAGTGTCAATTAATAGTCCCCTATTCTGGGGACATGGCCCAACAAAAAGGACCAGAAGAATAGTAAAAAAAAGCCCATAGAATTTGGGGAAGACAGACCTGGGAGAGTAACCAGATCTTTGTGGTATATGAAAATTCAATGCTTTTACTATGGTTTAAATTCTGTATAACAGATGTTTTATCAGCAACTGGTTTTAAAATAATAAGATTTTCAGGTAAGGAGGGGCCACATTATTATCTTGACTTCTTTTCTTAGATGGCATCTGAAAGGAAAAAGGTTGAGCCACAAAAATACTTAAAACACATTTTAAGAAGATTCATATTTATTCTTTCTTGGAAATCCACTGTGAATAATGTATGCTCTTCCTTTCAAATCAAATTTAAGAGCTAGGTTGTCATACTTCATATCATCACAAAGTTATATTGAACTTAATGATGAAAATGAAGGCTTACTGAAGTATGGCTGTAAGCTAAAGCAAATGTGGGAGAACCTGTAGATTTCCAGAATTTGCAGAAGTCCAGCTCTTATTTTTGTCAATCAATATGGTTAAGAGCATTATAAATTTTAAATGTTACACATTGAGGCATTTTAATATAGCCATAAAATATGTAAAACAAAATGCAGGGAGGCTTTCCAATAATAGCTTGAAAATGTAAACACTCACTTTTTTACTCAGTAACTAGTACTGTTCACTTCTACTGCAAGGACATGCCATGTGATACTCTTACCATGATAACTTAGTAAGTAGTTATTTCAACATTTATATGAAATAAAACTTCAGTATCATTATGAGAAAATGTGGGCATCTAGAAAATGGAACAGCTGTTGCAGGAAGAAAAATACTTGAACCATTCATTATGTGTGGACTACATAACTTCATTTTGATTCACATGTTTTTATTGTTGTTAATTGCGAAGTCGTGTCCGACCCATCGCGACCCCATGGACAACGTTCCTCCAGGTCTTCCTGTCCTCTGCCATCTTCTAGAGTCCATTTAAGTTCACGCCTACTGCTTCAGTGACTCCATCCAGCCACCTCATTCTCTGTCGTCCCTTTCTTCTATTGCCCTCAATCTTTCCCAGCATTAGGCCCTTCTCCAGTGAGTCCTTCCTTCTCATTAGGTGGCCAAAGTATTTGAGTTTCAACTTCAGGATCTGGCCTTCTAAGGAGCAGTCGGGGTTGATCTCTTCTAGGACTGACTGGTTTGAACGCCTTGCAGTCCAAGGGATTCACAGGAGTCTTCTCCAGCACCATAGTTCAAAGGCCTCAATTCTTTTGCGCTCAGCCTTTCTTATGGTCCAACTTTCACATCCATACATTGCAACTGGGAAAACCATGGTCTTGACTATACGCACTTTTGTTGGCATGGTGATGTCTCTGCTTTTTAGTATGCTGTCTAGATTTGCCATAGCTTTCCTCCCCAGGAGCAAGCGTCTTTTAATTTCTTGGCTGCAGTCCCCATCTGAGGTGATCTTGGAGCCCAGGAAAATAAAATCTGTCACTACCTCCATTTCTTCCCCATCTATTTGCCAGGAATTGAGAGGGCCGGATGCCATGATTTTGGTTNCCCTTCTTCTATTGCCCTCAATCTTTCCCAGCATTAGGCTCTTCTCCAGTGAGTCCTTCCTTCTCATTAGGTGGCCAAAGTATTTGAGTTTCAACTTCAGGATCTGGCCTTCTAAAGAGCAGTCGGGGTTGATCTCTTCTAGGACTGACTGGTTTGAACGCCTTGCAGTCCAAGGGACTCGCAGGAGTCTTCTCCAGCATCATAGTTCAAAGGCCTCAATTCTTTGTCGCTCAGCCTTTCTTATGGTCCAACTTTCACATCCATACATTGCAACTGGGAAAACCATGGCCTTGACTATACGCACTTTTGTTGGCAGGGTGATGTCTCTGCTTTATAGTATGCTGTCTAGATTTGCCATACTTTCCTCCCCAGGAGCAAGCGTCTTTTAATTTCTTGGCTGCAGTCCCCATCTGAGGTGATCTTGGAGCCCAGGAAAATAAAATCTGTCACTACCTCCATTTCTTCCCCATTTATTTGCCAGGAATTGAGAGGGACGGATGCCATGATTTTGGTTTTCTTAATGTTGAGTTTCAAGCCAACTTTTGCACTCTCCTTCACCCGTATCAAGAGGCTCTTTAGTTCCTCTTCACTTTCTGCCCTTAGAGTGGTATCATCTGCATATCTTAGGTTGTTGATATTTCTCCCGGCAATCTTAATTCCAACTTTTGTTTCATCTAGCCCTGCCTTTCTCATGATGTGCTCTGCATATAAGTTAAATAGACAGGGCGACAGTATACAGCCTTGCCGGACTCCTTTCCCAATTTTGAACCAATCAGTGGTTCCGTGTCCAGTTCTCACTGTTGCTTCTTGACCCGCATATAGATTTCTCAAGAGACAAATCAGATGGTCTGGTACTCCCATCTCTTTAAGAACTTGCCACAATTTGTTGTGATCCACACAATCAAAAGCTTTAGCATAGCCAATGAAGCAGAAGTAGATGTTTTTCTGGAACTCCCTAGCTTTCTC